AATGGTGTTTGAGGAGTTCTTGGACAACTTGGAAAGCTTGTAACATTTACTAATATCCATCTTTGCAATGCAACTTGAAATTCCAAGTGGAACTATGTGAAAAGTGGCCAAGAAGATGGATCCAAATCTTGCCTAGATTAGGGCAAATTTTCTCTAAGTTAAAAGTTTTAGATACCCTTGTTCCAAAAATCATAACTTGAGATACAAGATTTTTTTGAGAAAACTTTGTGAATCAAAGTTGTAGACTTTGTGATGGACTACAACTTTCATGTTTCAAATTGTGTTTGAATCCATTTGCATCTTAGTGAAAAAATATGACAAACTTAGGAAAAAATAAGAAAATTTTATAACTTAGAAAAATTCTAAGTTATGAAAATTTTCCATTTTAAACCCTAATTTGCATTTTTGGGTTTCTTGGTGAACAAGTTTCATAATTTGACATGTTTTGATGAAAAGTAACTCTTGGCACTTGATTTTGACCAAAAAGTCAAAGTTTGACTTTTCAGTGTACAGTCAAATTTTGATCAGTTGACTGAAAAATTCATCTGTCAATCCTATGCATTTGAGATCTTTTGAATTTGTTGAATGGGTCAAGACAATGTCATTGAGTCCTTGAGTCCATATGTGAGCTTGGTTTGCCATTGGTTTGGTCAAACAGTCAAAAATTGCCTTTGTGCAGTCAAAACCCTAAAAATGACCATTTTGCCCTTTTGGTGATCTGATCAAATTTCTTGTGGAATTGTGATCCAAACTTGATCAAATGGTTCATATGAGTTCATAATGTTGATGTGGGTCAAAATCCATGAGGTTTGACTGTAAATTAGCCACAATTGACTTTTTCCCCAATACAACTGATTTATAGGTCAACTGTCCAATTGACTGGGCAAAGATTTGAATCAAGGCTTGAAACTTGGTATGGGAAAACTTGTGAACCCAACATGAGGCATGAAAGTCAATTTGGGTATTGTAGGTCAAAATATCCCTGTGCAAACTCAAACCCTAATTTGGGTTAACAGTGCAAGGAAGAGTCTTAAGTAGAGCAAACCCTAGCTTGATCCTGAATTCCAAGAGTCTTGTGATGAGAAAGTGTTGATGAAATGAGAGGGAAAATTTTGGGGTACAACACTTAGTTTTGCTTAAAAGATTCAACCAAGAATAATACTCAACTCTTTGCTTAAAATCTCATGAGTGTGAACAAGAACTTGATAAAATCAAGTAATAATCAGTCAAACTCAATGCATTAAAAGATACATGAGTGACATACAAAGAACACAAAGAACTTAAAAGACTCCCAAAACCCTAATACTTACGTTGCACCCACAATTTCTTCAATATGAATGCTTGCGATTTTGGGTTTACCAAATACTTATTTATAGACTCTTGTAATATCGGCTTGGAATCTTCAAATCAAATCCAATCTTCACTTTTTAAATTAGTTGCAAGATCTTTACATAAAAATGGGAACAAATATTTTAAAGTTTCCTAAAAAGTCTCCAAGATCCTTTTTAATAAAACCAAGTCAAATCTGCACTTGTTCCTAATAAATCTCCTTGACCTGCGAATAATAAAGAGATATATCCAAAAGGATCTCTGAAAAACAAATCAAATATGTCAAGAGATTAAAACAACATTGCCTGCTACAGAATATAACAAGATGTTAAGACATCTGGCTCAACATCTGTCTGATCCACATGACATCAGAGCTTGTCATGATAGTTGGTCAAGATGTTATGAGAAAAGTTCAAAATATTATTCATTTGCAAAGTTCAAATGATTATTCATTTGCAAAGTTTTTAAAACTGATTACCATATGCTAATAATCAAAGTGGATTCTCCTGCTGGAAAATCTAATATTGAAAATGTGTTGAAAGTGTGCATGAAGCGTGGTTGAAAAGTCGGTTCCAATATTAAAAGTCATCTCCCAAGAAATTTGACATAATCAATATTTTTGTTTTAGAAGAATATTTGATCAAGTGTCTAAAATTTATGAAAATAAAGAGATCTCTACAAATTATGCCATGAGGAAAATATGATGGAACCGAAAATTATGAAAACAAAATGAAGTCAACATTGACAATATGTTACATATAACATAGCACTATATATGTGATAAGTATAATGAGGATCATGGACTATTAAAGTCTATTAAATGTTATAGAAAAATAAAATATATTGGAAAAAAGGGGAAATAAACCATTAATGTGAAATTGAATTCTCTTAAAAAAATTAAAATATTTTAGGACCGACTGTCTGCACACCCGCAAATGCATATATAATGAGGTATGAATAAATTTTTGCGCGAAAAGAATATGAAAATGACGAAATACATATATAAAATTGACATATTTACCTGAAGTGAATTGAAAAAAGTTTATTAGTGATTTTGATGAGACATATTTCACATGTAGTAAATGAAAGTAATTTTTTATATTTAATAAATCTTGTAGCACATGAAGGACTTAACTTGTAACAACTTATTTGTATGACTCACTTGACATTGAAATTTTCATGAAACTCCTAAAAGGATTCAATATATCATATGCACATAATTCTGGATCTCGAGAAAGCTACTCATTCAAATTAAATAAGTCTCTATATGAGTTAAAATAATCTTGACGCATGTGGTATAATCGTCTCAATAAATATTTTTTAAGAGAGGGATATACAAATAACTCCATTTGTCCTTGTATTTTTATAAAAAGGTCTTGAAACTAATTTTGTATAATAGCTGCCTATGTGGATGCCATAACTATGAATTATTTAAAAGCTATGAATTATTTAAAGAAATTATTTAATAGCTGCCTATGTGGATGCCATAACTATAAAAAGGTCCTGGAGAGCTTTTAAAAGCTATGAATTATTTAAAGAAATTATTTAAGATGAAAGACTTGGAAAGACAAAGTCCTTACTATGTGAACATTTGGACAATAAAAACTTGTACACCAAGAAACTTATATAGAAAAGGTAATTATATATGGACAAATCTCAAATATTGTCTATCCCGATGATGTTATATCATTGAATTTGGATAAGATTCTTTCAGACCTCAAGAAGAGGATGAAGAACTACTTCGTCTAAATGTACCATATCTTAGTGTAAATCTAGCACTAACACATCGTCCTAAGTATACATGTCATAATATATAAATTTATGTCAATCTTAGTAAGATATTGTTCTTTACCTGCACAAAGACGTTGAAACAAAGTCAGACAAATTCTTTGTTATCATAGAGTTGTAGATAACTTATCAAACACTTATAATAATAGATCAAAAACATGTCACTTGTTTACTTGTATAGGTATAACCATTTCAAGGAGATTTATGAAACAACTTCATAAAATCATGCATAACCATTAGCACTACACGATGTCACTTTCAAGAAGAACTTTTAAGCAACTACAACAAAGAATATCATTTCACGTATAAATGTATGCATGAGGGAGAGAAATAAATATGTTCTACACTATTTTTCCTTTCCCGTGGTTTTGTCTCATAAAGTTTTTCTAGTAAGGTTTTTAATGAGACAATTTACATTCAAAGAATATTGTACTATTTTTCCATCACCAAATTTTTTCTAGTAAAATTTCAACTAGATATATCCTCAATAAACAATCAAATGAAAGTGTTATTAATAATCTTAAGTAATCCACCGTTAATCCTTTATTTCATAACATTCTCTTCCTTCTAAATGTTAATTAATTCCTTTAATTATGTATTAGAGCATTTTTGTCCTAAAAATAGGATCTATGTTATTGTAAAGAGATAGTTGAAAACAAGACAACGCAGTCATATTCTTTATAATATTTTCCTTTTCTTCTTATTTCATAACATATAACAATCTTTTATATATTTAATTGTGTTTCAATTTCTCCATGTGAATAAAGTGCATGAGTATAAAATTTAGTTTATTTGTAATATATATAGTCCATCAAATATTTAAAATAAAAAAATATTAGAAAAATATGATACAACACCATAAATTTGTATATCTCATGATTCTCTAAAAGTTAATTTTTTTCAATAGTTTATTCATAATCAGCTCACTTATTTAGAAATTAATTTATACAAAATTTAAGTTTTAATTTACCCATGTAAATTGTATTGACACAACAAATTCAATTAACTTCTATATCTTTTTGTGTTTTTAATTGAAAGAATTATACAACAAATGTTTCGGGACCTTGAATTTTTTTTTTTTTATAAGCATATTGTATTATAAGAGTACAAGTTAGTACTCATACTTCCATTACAACATATAATAGTGATTCAACACCAACCCATCTAACCTCTTAATTATAAAAATTTAGGGGATATTTCCACCAATCATAAAATGAACAATGTTTCTGCAATTTAAATCCTAAAGAAAACCTCCACTAAGAATGCACTTTAATACTATGTACTATTTCATCTACATCTTCAATAGCATTAATGAAGACAATCTCATTCCATTAACGCCATATACACCAAGAAGCCACCATCCATATTACACCTTCCCTCTTTTTTGAGCATTTACCATGTAAAGCATCCACCATTTGCATTTACCATCTAAAGCATCCACCATTTCAAGGAAATATTCACAACAATTGGGTTTAATAATGTACTCAATTATTTAATTTTCTTCATTTTCTTATTATTTTACATAAATTGTATATTTAATATTTTTTTTTATTAATTTATTCAAAATCAAAATAAATCTTACCAATAAGTTAAAAAGAAAAGAAAATAACATTGATCGACACTATACATACATTGACATTATACAATATTTTTACACCGTCAATTAATGAGTTACATATATTTCTTTTATTTTTAAAATATTAATATGACATGACAAATTTAAATATTTCAATTATATATATATATATATATATATATATATATATATATATATATATATATATATATGAATTTCACTGTTATCACTTATGATTCTATAAATATCAATACCTTTCACAAAATAAACAACTTGAAGAAAAAACTAAACAATATTTCTCCTCAGCATGGATTTGATAACTTCTGACCCCAAAATAAAAATTGGTATTCTTTTGTCATTAATTTTGCTATGCTTATTTGCTCCATTCAATTTCAATTGGCCAGCTCTTTTGATTGCGGTTGCACTTGGTGTTGTTACTGGACTCTTTGGGATCACTCTCTCTTTCCATAGAAATCTTTCTCATAATAGCTTTAAGCTTCCCAAATGGCTTGAATATTTCTTTGCTTATTGTGGAGTTCATGCTATTCAGGTTTTATTTTATTTTTTTCCTTATTTACCTTTTTTCTTTTGCATTCGTTTCGTGTATGTTATAATGCATGAAATGTGGGGATCTAAATTTTACATCTATGTGATATGCAACTTATAGTGTTATTCTAATTCCAAAGTAAATATTAATCTCATTTATTAATGCTTTTCTCTTGTCTTGAAAGGAAGATAAAATGTTTGTTTTTGTTGTAATTTTGGTGTGTAGGGAAATCCAATTGAATGGGTGAATATTCATAGGTATCATCATCGGTTCACTGACTCTGAAAAGGATCCTCATAACCGAATTAAGGGATTTTGGTTTAGTCATGTGGGTTGGTTATTTGATACTAATTCTATGGTAAAAAAGGTATATATGCTCTCTCTATTTGAAGATACATACAAATGTTTTTTTGTATGTTTGAACCATAGTGTGTAGAAAAATGATTTTGCTTAATTTATGGTGGCACATGATGATTCTTTCAAACCTCAAAGTCAATTGATACATGTACTTTATCTACTTGTAAAATAATTGTGTATGTATGCATGCAGTGTGGAGAACCAACCAATGTTGGAGAATTAGAGAAACAATACTTTTATAGATTTGTTAGAAACACTTACATTTATCATATATTGGCTATGGGAGCTCTTCTATATGCAGTTGGTGGATTTCCTTTTATTGTTTGGGGAGTGGTATGAAAATTTGTTAATTCCATAGATTTAAGTCAACAACATCTTTCAATTTAGTTCTTATTTAAAAATGAATTTAAATTTGAATGCATGCAGGGTGTGAGAACTGTTGTGGTTTACCATATTACATGGTTTGTAAACTCGGTTTGCCATGCTTGGGGGAGCCAACCTTGGAATACAAGAGACTTATCTAAAAATAATTGGTATTTTAATTTTATGATTTATGCATTTTTTTGGTTTAGTAATTAATTTGGCTAATTAGTAATCGTTAAGAGATTAGTTTTGATCAATAATTTTTTACTCTGCCAATCAATCATTTACCATTTTTTATATAAATAATTTTAAGGTTTAAATAATATGTTAGTTCCTTGTAAGTTAACGTGTTTCTGAATTTATTTTTTTCTCTTAAAATAGTTCTTATGTTAAACTTTTTGTTTGTTTTGATGCTTAAAGTTAAAATTCAATTTAAAGAAAACTAATACATTTTAAATCTGCAAGAAAATTTTCAGGAAAATCTACATAAAATCTATAAATTTTATTGCGGATTTTGAATTTAAAGACTAAAATAAAAAAGATTTAATATTTTATGACTATTTAAAAAAAAATACAGATTATTAACTAAAAACAAAAATACACTAACTTGCATGGACCAACAAACTTATTTTTAATGATTTATTAGTTGTGAATTATTGAGAATCTAAAAAGTATTTACTTTTGTGACTGCATATTAGTGAAATCTTATTCTCTTGATTGTTATCTGAAATTTGTTAGGTGGGTGGCTTTACTTTCATTTGGTGAAGGTTGGCACAATAACCACCATGCATTTGAGTACTCAGCTAGACATGGTTTAGAGTGGTGGGAAATAGACATGACTTGGTACGTGGTCACATTTCTTCAAGCTATTGGTTTAGCCACAGAGGTTAAACTACCAACTGAAAGTCAAAAGCAGAGAATGGCATTCAACAACACTGATGTGGTAGCCACATGAAAAACACAACTTTTTTTATTTAATAGGTTAATAGTAATCGTTTTTATATGTTCTCGTTTCTTTTCTTTCTACTAAATGTAAAACGTATGTGAACTTGTGTCACTTAAATAAAATTTATGTATATCTAAGTTATTGACATTTTTTGTCAAAGAAAAGTTATTAACATTAATGTTATGTAATTTTTTAAATTTTAAATAAGAGCCAAAAAAACAAGAACTCAATAAAAGCTCTTTAAAGTGCTACAAGAGAAAAACAAAAAACATAATGACTAATTTAAACAAGACCGAAACACAATATCTAAACAATCACAAAAGGCTAGGCAAACAAAGATCAAGCATTCCAATAAGGGTCATAAGCAATTAAACAAGCTATTGGTTGTAAATATCATTGTTAAAAAATTATCTATTATAAATTTATAAAGCCAAAACTATCTGCAAATTACACAATAAATCTTGTGATTAAATATCTAATCTAATATAATTATAAAGCGTATAATTGACTTTTTGAACAATTCTTGATTTATAGTGATTTGACATTAAAACGAATATGTACTTGGAAACTTAAAAGTCAATCCAATTTACAACTCCTACCACCCTTGAAAATTGATATTATATGTTCACTAAGCTCTATGCATTCCTTGAGAACTGGACACAGATGAATCCTATCTACAGAATGGAGCAATGACAAACCCTAATTTTGCTCTTATGTCAAGCAATTTTATTGGATGTGTTATCTGTTCTCTATTTGGTTTACTTCAATTCAATTTGAGGTTTCTTCGAGAGTAATCTCGGACACAATTGTAGCCAGGGAGCATGAGATCAGAATTGGTGGGTGTGTTACGATTGCACACGGAGGCTAACTGTGACAAATTTGTTTCCAAATCTGCATTCAAACTTTCCTCTTTTCTTTTTCTCACTTTTTCTGTGTATGTTCTGTTTTGGGTGTTGTCCTTTCTGCTAAAATTTTGTATCAACAGTTTATGGATTTGTGATTTATGTTGGCTTAGAAAATAGTATGAAAGGATGATTTTATGGTATGTTGAGCTAGTATAGTGGTTTTTGTATAAAACTTGAAGGTGAACAAGAATGGTACAATGATGATTGTAGAAAAAATTGTGATGTCGGCATCTAAACTCAAATAAGTTTCTCACTTTGTGTATCACGATTGGTTATGAGCTACTATGGCTGATTTAATTCTCTAAGGTTTGTCCAGGTTTGCATCTCAGGTGCTCGATGAAAAACATGAATACTAATGTATATCTCTACTGCATTTCAACCAGGTCACTATTGAATTTCAGCTGATTCAGGTTCACTTAGAGTTGCTTAAGGTTCCTTGAGAGATAAAATTATCAGTTCTCATTTTTCTCACCCCACCATGTAAGTTTTTCTGTTTTCGTGTTTTGGTTACAAATCGTAATCGTATAATTTATTGATAATTTTATTCGTTGTCGAGGATGCATTGTTGATACACTTGAGGAGACCATTGAAGAAGTAAAAACTAATAAGGTATCGTAAGTCCTGATTTATTATATTTTGATTTTGTTAATGTAAGATTTACTGGTCTTATACATGGTTGTAGCGAAATCACTGTTGAAACCATTGTTACTATATTATTGAATAATGAATTGTTCCATTATTGATGATTAAACTGGAAAGTAAAAAGCATAGTATGTGGCATTGAGATACGATATGATTTAAACTATTGAAATCTCATGCTTTTTATTCTTCACTGATGCAGAAAATGTTGTTTTTATCAATGGAATCTCTCATTAGTTTGATGAGAGAAGTGGAACTTCTGAAAAAAGTTGTTGAGCAAGCCCTAAACCCTAATGGTGTTCCAAAGTTTGGCAACAGCGGGACCAACCATTAATGGTGTTCTAAATTTTGGCATCCAAAATTTTGTGGCGGGTATAGGCCAGGTAGCATACCTGTGAGGCATGTTATGAATGAGACAAGTCGCAGCGGGTTGATGATAGATGAAATTGGTCTTTGTTGATGTTGGAAATCCACCAAATTCTATGATGAATTTCTACCACAATGACAATTTAATTATGAGAAAAAACAAATAAAAGAAGACAAGATAAATATTTCTGCAGAGTTTCTCTCTGCCCACAAACTGTGGAAAACTTTCTTAATCACTTGCAACTGCAAATTCTGTGATTACAATGAATTGACTTACTTGACTTTCTTTTAAAAATAGGGGTTACTCCCTCTATTTATAACTGAGCTTACACCCTAAACCCAAGGCCCAAAATATCTTTTTGTTACTAAATCAAATCTATTCTAGATTTAAATCAAATCTATTTAAATCTAAAACAAATCAAATCTTCTTTGACACATATGAATTACAATTTAACAGTTGTGGTATGTATGTCAATGTACGGAGTTGGCTTGAATTTGACACAACAGGTATATTTTTGTGTAGCATATCAGGTCTGGAATTTGTGAAATTTTGGTTTGTTTCGTATATGGTAGGATATTATTTTTCTATTTTGATGGTTGCCAAATCATGTTAGGAGGACATTTAGAAAATAGTTAGTGTTATTGAACCGCATGAGTTGAACTCTGTTAGTAAGTTAGCGAGTTATCTCTCTATTAACACAATTTAAAATTGGTTAATTAAAAGAATGTTATAACATAGCAGATAGCCTGAGATGAATGGAGAAACTACTCACCAATTTCCATACATACCAGATGATATAGATAAAGATAGTGGCCAATTCGAATACCCATTGTTTTGAGTTCATTGCATTTTGACCTGTACTCTTTCAAATTCATGTCATTTTCTTGGTTTGAGTACCATCATTGTTATTTTTCAAATTTTTATTTAATATTAATATGTCATTCTCATTAAATATCATCATTAAACTACTTTTGAAAGACCATATTTTCTATATTATACATCTCTTCTAATATGGTGAGATTGTGTTGTTTATTGGTTTTAGTTTTTTAGTTTTTTTATTTTTCTGTTTGGAGGATTGAAGATGTTGTTTAATAGTCTAACTATTTTTTGTTTGGTATTTTTCTTAAAATCAATTTGGATTTTTTTGCGGTATTTTACACTGGTTTTTATACTGCGTTATCTAATTCAGACACATTTGCATCACTTTATTCACCGAATGACTTGACAACAACGCTCTTTGATGATGTGTTTAGCGTCTTATTTTCTAATTTATTACTGTAGAATCTTAAACTAACAAACAAACGCCAAATGTACCATTATTTTTGCCAAAGACCCGTCATTTGTGGTAAAGGTTCTCAGCATAATCGTAACAGATATTGCTGCTACATAGCTTTTATGAATCTAATAGCCAGGAGTTGGATAACCATCTGGTGGACCAGCAGGTTGAGAATGATTTAGAACATCGTACAGAGCGAGCATATTGATAAGAGTTACCAAACATGTCTCCCTTCTTATGAATTCTCTATACTTCATTCCAACCAAATCTTTTTATGCGTTTTCGCTTGGCAGTGAAACAAAAACTCCTTGCATTTGATGTAATGGCACAATAACATAATATCATTTGATGCATATTCAATCGGGTTCATGCAGGTAGTAAGTAGCTTTTGACAGCAACAAACTTGGCATATTGGTGTAATTTTGATCATGCTGGCAGCAGGTCTGCCTTTTATGCAGAAGCAACAACAGGTCGTGTTAGCTATTGTTTTCTCTTTCAATGTGCATAAATGGTGAAGTGATGTCTCTGCACTTTTAATGTCTTCACAACAACCCCATAGACAAACTTTTGAGCTTGATTGTTTTCAATTGCAACTTTGGTATGTAATTCCCATTTGGAACTTCCTTTACGGGTATATGTGAACGTATCTATTAAATACTAGTCGTAGATTATTTATTTTAATGTTCATATTTTGAATATTTCTTTTGATGTTGTTTTATATAATTGAAGTTAGAGAATCGGTTGTACGATTTATTATAAGTACGGATCAATGCTTAAAAGTTAGTGCATAGTATTAGTTTATATGTAACTATTTGAATATTAACCAATTAAAGAATGGATTTATATTTTTTCAAATGATAATTTAGTAGACGTGTAATAAAAATCCAGACAGGATTCGTGAGATAACATGAATTTTTTACTAGTTTTATCTTTAATTTAATTCAAATACACAAACAGGACCCGTAAGATAGCATGAATTTCTTACTAGTTTTGTCTTTAATTTAATTCAAATACACAAAGTAGAATTTGGCATCTTCTAAGAATTTGCAAATGATTGTCTACGTGGGTTATATATTTCCAATGGCTTGTATATTTGTTGAAAAATTTGAAGATTGAATGCATAAAAACACGAGTGCTATATTGTGATATCAAAGTGCACTACACATTATAGCTAATCCGATATTGACGAAAGAACTAAGCACTTAGAATCAATTGTCACATTGTAAAAGAAAAGATGTTGAAAGGATATTGATGAAACAATTATTATGCACTTCGAAAGACTAGCTAGCACATTTCCCATTAAACCTCTATTGCATCAACCTTTTAATGGCTTACCATCCAAGTTAATGATGTTTGATATCTATCAACCATCAACTTATGAGAGGGTGTTACAAGACTAAGTTTTTCTAATGCATGCAACACGGAGATGCCAACTTTAACACACAATACATAACATTTTTTTGTTATAACAGTTAATAGTTAGTTATATAACAGTTGGTAGTTAGTTGGAGTTTAGAATCCAATACATGCTAATGTTGTGTACTTAACATAGACATTACTTGATCTATAAATATTAGCTTGTATTCTTCACAATTTTTCAATGAAGTTAGTTACAATTACACTAAATATGGCAATTCATAATATATTATCATGAAAAAAATGTTGCAAAATCGAGGAAGAAAAAAATAACAAGAGGACATATTACTTTATATTCCAATAAAATCTATTCATCGGGTTGAAAATCACTACAAAAAAAAGCTTCCCCAACCACGTGAAGTTGCCACGTGATTTTCATGTGGTTAAATAAAACCAGTTGCGACGT